AAGCACTCTCCTGGAATCTTGTAGTCCTTGGTGCTGGGTGCTACACATCTGGCACTCTGGCATGAACATGTTTCCTGAGCTTGGCCTGCAATGGGTCATGCTGACCGGACAGCGCTCCGGCAAGTCCCCATAAAGTTTGAAAGCTCTTTGCAACATGCAGCAACCCAGCAGGCCAGCCAAACTACTCTGTCGCTTCCCGTGCTGGTTGAGAAGGCGGGGGGCTCAGGGAAAGCCAGAACAGAAATTTGCGATCCGGAATCTGAGTCCGTCCACACCTTCTGCCGCTACTCGCAGCATCAATCGCAGCAGCAAAGCCATTGCAAAGGCGATGCAACATCCACAGGAAAGGGTTGGAGACCATAGCACAGCAGCGGAGTAGTAGAATGCCTTCGGCGTGGTCCTGAGGAATCATGGCGGACCCCGAGAAGTGCCTCCTACTCCCATTGCCTTCTGTTTTGAAAATTACCATGCGTGATACTTGGACACCGTTTGTGTTGCCTTTGCCACAAGGAACGGCATGGCTCCTGCGCTTTCTTCTTCTTACCCGTCGCTGGCTGAGTTCGCCTGACATGGCTTGTTGGCTTGGACTTGCAAGTATCTAATTTCATTTGTTGCTGAATGCCGCATTACAAAGACATCATCTAGATGCAGGAGCCAGCATGTTTTCCGTCTTGTTGGCCGGCAGCGATTCCGTGCACAGGTCCGCATGCAACAGATGTTTGAGGGGCCGTGTCCTTAGCTCTGTGGGCATGACCTTAAGCAGTTGTTTTGTTTCTCAATTCTTGCCAGTCTGAGGCCCGTGCAATCCGCAGAAGCCACCTTCAAGAGGCTTTCTGGTGGAGGCTACGCCTAAGCCTATGCTTGATGGAACCTCGTTTGACAGCAAGTCAACTGGCCATTCAAACCGCGAATAGTGTCACCAAGAAACAAAACTTGTCGGCTTAAATTCATGACATCACTTTCTGCTGCAGGTGCATCTGGAAACTCCCAAACCAACGCGGGCGCTTGGGCCTCCAAGTTCGTGATTCCAGCACTCAGACGGAGCTTCGTGAATTTCAGCTCGCTCCATGCTGGTGGTTCAAGAAAAGCGAGAGCAGAGTTATCAACTGAGCACAGACAACGTGAGAGAACCCCCAAGCGCTGAAGGTCATCCTGCTGCAGCAAGTTTCAGTGATTGCAAACCTGGCAGATGCCCTACCCTCAGCGACAGAATCCACATGATGGGTCCATGTGAGCTATAGTCTAAACTCCTTAAAGGGGGTTATATATGCGTCTGCGCTCCGCGTTCCCACCCCCCCCATGGTATCCCCCCCCACCCCTCCCCCCTGATGCTTCAAAAGTGTCAACAGTCACAGGGATGGGCCCTCCGGGTTGCCATCCTCGAAACTGTCATTGTTTTTGACGCCTGAAAGCTGCCTTCCTGTAACTGTTGTCACTTTTGGACCTATGTGTCGTCGTCGCGTCCCAAAAGCGTCAACAGTCACAGGGATCAGGGTG